AAATAAAACTTGATCCTTAAACTCATTCCATGTTGCCAAGACAACTCAGCATTAAGCCTAACATTTCCTTTTTGAAAAAAGTATCATTAACATTAATCCCCTCATGAACAATTGAGTAGAAAGGCAGTCTTAACCTGAACCTCAAAACTAACCTAAAACTCACAGAATGGGAGGTCTGAGCATTGTCTAGGCCCTGGTCACTGGAAGTCAGATGCACGAGGTACAAATGCTGGCTCTACCCCTGAGTTCCTTTTATGTCCTTGGTCAAGTTTCTCATCCTCTCTAACCCCATTCCCTAAACTCTTCCACAGAGATTTTACACACACACATGCACAGAGAGACATGGAACTTTTACAACAATTAAATGAAATAAGCTTTATGAAATACCTAGTGCAGTGCCAGGTCCAGCCCATAAGCATTCAAAATGTGTTAGTTGTGCATTCACACTTGTAATCCCAGCATTTTGGGAGGCTGAGGCAAGAGAATTGCTTGAGCCCAGAAGTTCAAGACCAGCCTGGGCAAAGTAGCGAGACCTTATCTCTACAAAAACTAAATTTTAAAAAATTAGCCAGGATTGGTGGTATGTGCCTACAGTCGCAGCTACTTAGGAGGCTGAGGCAGAAGGATCACCTGAACCCCAAGGTTGAGGCTGTGGTGAGCAGTGATCATGCCACTACACTCGACCCTGGACAACAGAGTGAGACCCCAACTCAAAAATAAAATAATAAATAAGATAAAATAAAATCAATTATTTTAATCACCTTAAAGAATATGGTAATTCCATTGATTTAAACAGATATGTATTGATCATCTACTACATGCCAAGCACCGTTTGAGGAAAGTTTTCTGTCAGTAAATAAAATGTAGAAAGGTCTGTGCCTTTGTAAAGTGTATAATCCAGCAAGTGAGATACAAAGGGTAAACATTAAACATAATAAATCAGTAAATTCTATAGTAGAATTGTCCAAGAGAATTTTTTGTGATGAGGGAAAGTATTATCTAATATAGTGGCCACTGGTCACATTTGACCACTAAACTTTCAAAATGTGGTTAATGTAAATAAAGAAGTGAATTCCTAATTTTATTTACTTTTCACTAATTTAAAAGAGCCACATATGACTGATGGCTACCATATCGGATATATACTTCTATGATCTATTAGAAGGTGATAAGCATACAGAAAACGAAAGGTAGAGCAGGGCAAGGGAGATGTGAAGTGCTAGGAGGAAAAAGAGGTAAGCTGCCCTGTCACATAAGGTGGCCAGTCTTGCTTTAAGACTCACTGAAAAGCTGAGGTCTAACTTGGAGGAGATAAGGGAGTGGGTTAAGACAGCAAAGATGGGAAGAGCATTCCAGACAGAGGAAAGTCCCTAAGGTGGGAGCTGTCTCATGTGTCCAAGTAATCTGAAGTACACAGTGAGCCACATGAGGTTTTAAGAAGAAGGGTGGCATGAACTGATTTTTGTTTTAAATGGATCCAATTGGGTCCTATGTTAACACAAAGGGTTAAGGAGAGAAGCTAATCTGCCAAGAGGCTACTACATAATCTAAGCAAAAAATGATGGTGGCTTAGACAAAGGTGGTGACAGTGAGGAGCACGAAGGTATCACCAGCTGGATCTATTTTGAAGGGATAGTCAAGAGGACTTTTGAATGAACTGGATGCGGCACCAGAGAATCAGAGATGTCACTGATTTGTACAAAACGGCCTGAGCAACACAGTTGCCATCAACTCTGACCAAAAAAAGTCTTAGGGGTAATAGGGCAGAGAAAAAGACCAAGGACTGAGTCCCAGGACACTCACAATTCTGGAGAGAAGAGGGGTCAACAAAGGACACTACCAAGAAGCAACCAGGGAACAAGGAGGAAAATCTAAAAGTAAGGAGACCAACTGCCATCTTTTCTGAAGAACTGCAACTAAAAATAACACAATCATACTTGCCCATTTAGACAACCACAAAAACCAAGATTAAAAAAAAAAAAATCCTGTGGGTAAACTTTTTAAAGCAATAGATTCTGAGAATTTAAAATGATCCTGATTCTCTCAAAAGTGAAGCATTGAGAAAGATAGGTAAAACCTTGGTTCTCTCCCTCATAAAAGCACCATTCTATTGCATGCTCACTACCAGAGGCTGTTATAGTGGTCTTCCTAAAAACAAGGCCTCAAAGACTCTATGTCTTCTTTCATTGTCCTCAAAGAAATATGACTGAAAATAAAATGGCTCTAAATTTCTAATGGAGAGAATTCCTAGAGAAGAAAGAGGCAGTCCAGGGAATAGGAGATATAATATTTCAACAGCAAATCTACAATGCTATTTCCTACTGTCTCTCTCTCACACACACACACAACCACTGTTCTCCTCATGTTTCCCAAATCTCTACCCTTTCACAACTAAACTCTGCTGCTTTATTCTAATTTTTTATTTTGTCATTAAAGTTTTCTGACATTTCTCTTATCCTCAACAGTTCTCTGATCTTGAATAACCATAACTATAGTCAGCAGATTAAGAATTCTTTATCTCATTGAAAGATGCCAAAGCAAGAACTTAAGATTCCAGAATTTTCATCCTAATGTCATAGTAATAAGCTAAATATCACATAAATAAGCATGATATATTGCTCAGCATATAGTATTCCTATGTCTAAAGTTTGGGTCAATCAGAAATAAAACATTCTCTTCTGTCTTGTCATAACAATACAGTTACTGGCCAAAGATCTTCCCAAAATCCCTTCCTCACTGGAAGTCATAAATAATGTTTGATGTAGATACTTCACTCTGAGATTTTCCATAAATAAGTTTCAGAAAATAATTAGCAGATGGTGTTCTCTTCCCCATTTCCACATATCTTTATACTTTAGCACACCTAGTTTGTGAAAATCATCTGTTGGAGACCTTTTATTTTTTGTAGTACTTCACTTCTAGCTTATAGAAGATAAAAACACCTAGCAACAAAAGGTGTCTTTTTCATCTTTCCATCTTCAGCAGTGAGGACATTCCTGAAAAGAGTGTTCAATCACTTGATGCTTGCTAAATTGATAGAAAACTGAGTTTAACAAAAAATTTCAACCCTATTCTCTGGATACTATTTCTCCCTGGCATGGTGGTACTTAGAAGGGGGGCAGGTAGCATTTTGAAAAGATGTTGAGTTGCACTGAAATTCTGACCCAATTTTAATCAATATAAAGTTAATTTTCCAAGTGTATAAAGGGAAAGTTAATAAAGGTCATGAAAAGAAAGATATTTTAATGACTCAGTGAAATAACCAAAAAGACA